AAAAAAAAAAAAAAGCTGTTGTTTCCTTAGTCTCCCTCCTCCTCTCTTTTTGATGCTTTTTGATTTACTCCATAGTAAAACATTAAAAATAAGTTGCTGTTGGGTGAGGACCTCTTGGATTCAAAACATTAAAATATTCCCATTGACTAAAACTAACCTGACACATTTTAATTCATGAATCACTCTCCGAATTGGCCTTCTATTGCCGTGTGGCCAACTCACCACAAACATAGTGGCTCAAACCAACATACACACGTATTATCTTAAAGTTTCTGTAGATCAGAAATCTGGGCATGGAGTAGCTAAGTTTTCAGCTCAGAGCCTTATAGGGATGAAATCAATGTGTTAGTTGGGATTTTGATATCATCTGAGGTTTGCGGTTCTTTTCCCAAGATCACTGGCTGTTGTTGGCCAGCTCAGTTCCCATTTCCTTGTTGACTGTAGGTTAGAGTTGGTAGATTCTCCACTCCTAGGGGTTGTCCTTGATTGTTTGTTTCAATTACCCCACAGATCGTTCACAACACCATTAGCTGTTTGCTTCTTCAAGTCTGATGGAAGAATCTTAGCCCTTCTTTTAAAGCTCACCTGATTAGATTTTGTTCACCCAGGTAACCGGCCTTTGATGAACTCAAAGCCACCTGACTAGTCACCTAATCTTTGGCATGAATTCCCACCATGTTTACAAGTCTTACCCACACTCAAGTGAAGAGGATTATGCAGGGCGTGTACACCAGGGGACCGCGGTCTTCAGGGCCACCAATCTGTCTTCCCTATTCCTCATGTGACTCTCAGTTGCCTCAGTTCTAGCTAGAGAAGCTGGAAATTAATTCTGATTTCTTAAGAACATCGCGTTTTCCTGATGACCTCTCAGACCAGAGTAAAGCTGGTTTTTGAAGACACCTCAACTCTAATTTCTTGGTTTTATCTTCTCCTGAGATTTTTTTCTCTCTTTAGATTCTCTTCTTTCTGGGTTAAACCCCTGTGCTTCCTTCTTACCAGATTTTTCTCATTCAGTTGGCCCTGACCCTTACTGTATTTGTTCCTGGTTAACAGCATTTTAGAAAACCTTTTAAAATCTTTTAAAAATTAAAGTCAGGTTTATTGAGCCATAGTTTACATGCAGCAACATCCATCCTTTTTAGTTTACAGTTCAGTGAATTTCAACAAATGCATACAATCATGTAAATCACTGCAATCAAGATATAGAAAAGTTTCCTTAACAATACAAAGAATGCCCTGTGTTTTTCATAGTCATCTCGTGAACGCCTAAGTCCTGAAAACCACTGATAGGTTTTCTGTTCCTAAAGTTTTGCCCTTTCCAGAATGTTCTACAAATGTAATCATATATAGCCTTAGTAAATACATAAATCATAACATAATGCATTCATCCATATTGTGTGTATTGTCGATGAAAAGAGTCAAATTCTGTAAAATATTTGAACAGATGTATTCCGAGCCAAATATGAGTGACCAATAGCCTGAGGCACAGCTCTCAGGAGATCCTGAGAACATGTGTCCAAGGTGATCAGGACACAACCTGGTTTTATACATATTAGGGTAATTGTCTATTTATGGATACTGACATTCTTCCAGCAATTATAAAAGCTGACTTAACTGGGTTGGGTAAATGTCAAAATTACGCTCAGGAAAAAATAATGCTTATTCATTTGGTCAAATGTCCTTCCTTTTAGCCTAATTTATCTCAACACATCTCTATTGGGCTTTGGCATTGAACTTAGATTTAAATACTAGATCCACCACTTACACACTGCTTGACCTTGGGCATGTTACCAAACATCTCAGATCTCTGTTTCATTATCTGTAATACAAATATAATAAGGCTACCTGTTTCGTATTTTGTATCTACTACTGAATTAATCAAGTTTGGAGTTTCATGTTGGTAACACCAAGAGATTTTTGGAGCTAAAATACAACTCACAGTGTAACCACAGTAGGCGGAGAGATTTGCCACACAGGGGTATGTGAGCCCCTGGAGAAGCCGGCATTCGTATTAAAGAAGCTCATTAGAGCTAAGAGTTAGCCACAAACCTACTCCCTTGAGGGAAGAGAAATGCTAAATACATTTTTTTCTCTCTCATTCCTACATTTCAGAACGGAGGGTTTAAATCAGTCAGCCCTTGATAATCTGTGCTAGTGAGGAATAGAAGCAGAATGGATAAGCCAGGTCCAGTGTCTTTAGCTTTAGTGAGTAGTCTTCACTGTACGCCAGGGTGAACTTTTGCTAAACTGTTTCCGAGTAACAAGGGTGCCTGGAATTGAAAGCCTCCTTTTCTTGGCTGGGCTCGGTGGCTCACGCTTGTAATCCCAGCACTTTGGGAGGCTGAGGCGGATTACCTGAGGTCAGGAATTTGAGGCCAGCCTGGGCAACATGGTGAAACCTCATCTCTACGAAAAATACAAAAATTAGCTGGGTATGTTGGTGGGCACCTGTAATCTCAGCTACTTGGGATACTGAGGCAGGAGAATCACTTGAGCCCGGGAAGTGGAGGTTGCAGTGAGCTGAGATCGTGCCACTGCACTCCAGCCTGGGTGACAGAGTGAGACTCTGTCTTAAGAGAAAAAAAGAAAAAGAAAGCCTCCTTTTCTTTTTGAAACAGGAAATCTGTCTTTAGCAAAGTTTCACCTTGGCCTTAGGGTGAGGAAAAAAGAATCCAAGTCTTTGAAGACAGAAGAGTTCCTTAGTTTTAGGGGGTGCCAGATGGGTGGAAAGCAGGATTATAGGTAAGCACATGCACACACACATTTTTAATAAAAACAAAGAGAAAAATAAAGGAATAGGAAAGTAGAAGAAAATAAAGGAATAGAAGAGGGAAGATCAGGGACCAAAAAAATTCTTAAACTTGCCATATTTCATTAAATCTAAAGACATCATAGATTGTTACTTTATATACCACTAAGAAAGAAAAAATGCTCTAAATTAAGCCATGACTTGACATGGATTGTATATAAGATGTATCTTGATTTGGGAGATATTATAATGTAACAAAAAAAGTGTGTAACTTGGAGTTAGTGAAAGTTGCTAACCCTCTTTTTCAGCAATCTCATTTGCAAGTGTTCAAACAGCTGAAATATAACAGAAAACACTGTCCTTACTCTCGTCATTTAAAAATGTTGGGTCCTGTAACACCACTTCAATACTCTTTTGCAAACAGTTGGGTATTTCCTTTGAAGCTATAGATTTTTTCCATGTTACTGTCTAAAGTAATTTTTAACATCCTCAAAACATTTTTGCAGACTTCAAAGGGAGAGTTATTAACTAAAGAGTAAATCAGGAATAGGCATGGGTGGTTTGAATCAGTTCACATAAATCATTAAAAATTAATCAAAAGTATGTATGAAAACCAGAACATAATATCTATGTGACCTCTGGATAGAGACGTCGAAACATCTGTCTTGTTTCTATGTGTACTGAAACAAAGTGTATTGATGGACCTGTTTTCTTTTTGACTTGTGGTTCTTAAGATGTATTTACTATGGGCTTTCAGCAGGGTATGGATAAAGAAACTTGGCATTAAACAAGTATCTAGTTTGGCCTAAAAAGAGATCACCTAGCATTGCTCTAGGCAAGTTTACTCTGAGATAGTAATTCTATGAAGTGAAACACTTTTTGTAAAGTGAAACCAAAGCCCATTTATGTAATAAGGTTAATCCGAATAGTTTGCGTTATCACTCCTTACAATCGTTTTATTTTATACATATCCATGCATTTTCTTAATATACATTCTTTATATTCAAATTTAGTTCTCTATAGAGATTCTAGTTAGAGTTTGTTTTTTCTTGTGAAAAGCAAACACTAAGAAATAAAATAAGAGAATGATGCAAAAGTAATTATTAAATTATAGCAGCACTCAAGTATTGAGAGATCACCCTGCGGACAGAGCTGTGCTGAATTCAGCTGACTGCAACAGGCTGGGGTTGAATCCAGGACCAGGAACAGGACCCAGCCCTGGAGCGGGCGTCTTGGGGAATGGACTCACTCTGCTACAGATGAGAGTTGAAGTCCAGTGCAACAGAGGTCATAAGTAGTTGACAGATGGATGAAATGGCCAGGCGCGTGGCTCACTC